GGAGGTAGATTCTCTTTTTCTCCCGGAGCCTCAAGAATAGTTCCCTATTCATCCACACCGGTCTCCTTCCCTGCCGGCTCATTTTGCAGCTCAGGGGGACAGCCCGCTCCTGCACCTGTAAGACTACCCTATCTCAAAGAATTCTTCAGATCAAGTGATAACAATAATTAATTCAACTCACAAGAACTTAATTCAATGATTTGTTTTACTTTAGAAGAAGACAGAAGACCTGTATCACCCGCAGTGTCCTGAGGACTCCATTGGAGATGGCAGGACCTGAGCTTAAGAACAAAGCATCAAAGTTTTGGTGGGCTGCCTGGTGCATTCTTGCACTGTGCACAAGGCAGAATCCTTAGCACTATCCTTTCCAGTTTGGGATTGCTAAAAATCAGAATAAGAGAATGAACGACTGGGAAAGCATATTGAAGGACCAGAAGGAGTAACGTCAGGAGATTATTTTCATTGTTGTAATACACTGTTGAGATCAAGATGATGTAATTAACGCAGTAGATGAAGAAGAAGGACAGAAGGGATTTCATGGCTTTGATGTGGGCGGCCGTGCTGAGGCTCCTGGCGGAGCTGTTCTGCATCTTGTGCTTGTGTCTGCAGAGGGAGAAGAGGAGGAGGAAGGCAGAGAAGATTACCATTATGAACGCCATGGAAAACCCAAACGTGCAGATTAAAACTATAGTGCTAAAATGTTCCCTTATTTCTTCGTTCACTTTCCAGAAAATCCCATGGGTGGTGAAATTGGTGCTCGTACTGTTTTCTTCATCAGTAACTTGGAGGAAAGGGCTGCAGTTGAGCAGGGACAGAACCACGGAGCTCAGCAGCAGCCATGGCACAATCCTGTCGATTTTGGCTTTCAGGTAGATGAAGAAATGGTGCCTGAAATTTGCAATTTTTATACAGTAGAAAGCATAGAGGCAGGCAGAAGTCCACAAGTTGGAAGAATTTAAAAAGCACAGAAAAATTGCAAAGGTGAGGGATGTGCCTGTATGTAAAAGATGCTGGGGAAAAAACACTGAAATAATGATGTATATCCACGTGGTGCACAAATACCAAAACCTGAAGCAGCCCAGAAACAGCAAGATCTTCTCATTAGAGTTCATGCTTTTCTTTTTGAACCATGCCTTGCAAGACTCAGCCACAATGAAGGAATTGATCCACATGCCGGCCAGCGCCTGGACGGTGAAGACGACCACGAAGGCATTAGCAGATGAAGTTGTGTTGTACCCATGCTGCTCTGCCATCCCGCACCAGGGGAAGCTCTTCTGTGCTGGAGCTGAGGTCAGCTGGGATGTGTGTCCTGCGGGAGGAAATGGAGCTTTATAGGGCTGGGGGGGAGCTCAGTGCTGCTCTCAGCTAGAGCATTGCAGGTGCTGGGATGTAAATGTGCCAGGTATCCCCTTACCCAGCATTGGTGTCAGCCTTCAGCATTTGAATTCCAGCTCATAACAGGCAGGCAGTGTGAAACTGTCAGGCAAAGTTCCTCTAGGTTTGGGTTTGAGAGGAGCCTGGCATGCTGAGAGCAGTTACCGACCAGATGGCAGCTGATGCTGTGCTGTAAATCTCAACAACCTGCCATCTAACTATGAGAAGGAAGCTGGCAGCTCTTCCTCTCTGCACCTGTTTCCTGGGGGCTATAAATGCTCCCTGAATATCACTGCATGCTCCTGTTTGCATTTTTTGTCACCAAAGAACTAGTTAGAGCATCAGCATGCTGAAATTCTGTGCAGAAGGCCTGGGGTGCATCTCGGCAACAGAGCACATTCCCATAACATCCATGCTGGTGATGCAGTAAGCAGACCTTGCAGTTCCTCAGGCTGCCAGCCCGAAGCCCTTTCCTTGGCAGAGGGCACTGCTCCTGTCCCAGAGCTGCT